CAGCAGGAACGCGATCTTTATAAGCAGAGATACGAGATGTTGAGGGCGCGACAAAGTCACCACCATAGTCACAATCATAGCCATCATCAACAGCAAACATTGCAGCAACAGCAACAACAGCAACATCAAACCCAAAATCAACAGTCGCATCCGCAGCAGCAACAACAGCAACATCAACCAGCACCCGCGAGTCCCGAAGTTTATCTGTGACATCGACAGCGCCGAGGGGGCGCTTGTTGGACTTGAAGTCATTTGTTACGTCAATGGATTATTTCATTGGTGAGTAAGAACAATTCATAAGTCAGCAATATAAACAAACTATACATCGCAATGCACGATGTAACGTTTGTATAATTTAGGGGGATAAAAATATTTCACATTTATATATATAAACAATGTTATATATGTGTTTATATATTATATATCAATAAATAATCTAATTTATCTCTATATAAAGTTATAACATATATTTTATGTATAAGTTATGTATTATTTATAAGTTATATGTTTTATAAGTTAAAAGTGGTGATATATATTTTATTTACATAAATATAAACAATTTTATACGTGATTTTGTTTTAATAACAAAATTTAGTTATAACTTCTTCTAAAAAAAAACGGATAAGAGAGATACATATTACAATAAATATATTCACAAATCACTATACAAAAGAGAGGAACTGCGACGATTAAATTAGAAGAAAAAGTTACTCAGAATTATGTCCTTGACAACATATGTCAAGGTCAAGGTCATTGGGGCTGGGTCCCCTATTCGCTATATTTATCCAATCTTCTTTAATTCACAACTCGACAAGTAATGTCAAATATATATAAGGAAATATTGATGATGTTTCTCTCTTAAGACCTTTTTACACGATCTATAATTTGCGGCAAAGTTTATGACAGAATTATATTTATAATTTTTATGTCTCATATAATAAAAAAAACATTTAAATAGATAAAATACATACAAATCAAAATATATATCAAAATACATATACATATACATTAAAACAGGTGACGCATAAAATATAAATAAAACTCTATCTTGAATTTTATCGCGAATTATAAATCGTTTAAAGAGTCCTTTACATTAAAAGTTTCAAAAATAATATGAGTATGTCATTAAACTTGTATCAACACATTTTGAAAGAAGAAAAATGATTAAAAAAGCCATCAAGAGCATGCATATGTTGAAAAAAACTATTGTACAGAAAAGTATTGTTTTATTATATATTTTATTACATATTTTTATCATATTATATTTTATATTATATTATATTATATTTGTTTATATTATATTTTATTATATTTTGCTTTATATTTGATTATATCTTGTACTCTTTATAGTTTATTATATATTGTACTTTATATTTTATTACAAAAAAGCAATAAATTAAAAATCAACATTTTATATTTTAATTCTCCCAAATCAATAACCAAAAAATGTTAAGTATAATATAATTATTAAAGAATATTTTTTTTCTTATATAAAAATATATAGAGGAAAGTAGGGTAAAACCGGATATTTTTTTGGATTTATCTTCCTACAAAAAATCAGAAAGTAAAAAAAATTTCGCTGACCGTTAGTAGTCTTTAGTGGACCTTAAACTATGAGAAAATGAGGTTAGTTGCTAAAAAAAAATTTGGTTACCAAGGATAACAAGATTTTTTGGAGAAGTCAAAATACCCGGTTTTGCCCTATCGGTAGAATAAAACCGGGTACCCATTTGAAAACATGTAAAACACCGTGCAATTACGAAATCTAGATTTATTTTAATCGGAATATAATACAAAGATGTATTCCATTGACAAAAATCACAGATAAAGATATCCTCTTGTTCTACATTGTTGCAGGATTTATTTATTTAATTTTTTAATTTTAGGAGTCTCAAAAAGCTTCTTTTTAGTGGTTTGTTTTTCTGAGTATTAGTCTTCGTTTCCAACTACTTTTTGTAAGGAGACAAAGTCAGGATAACAGTTCTTCCTCTTTTCATTACATGAGATGTGTAGGTATCCGGTTTTGCCCCAACACGAAGAAAATAACAAACACGGCGGCTGTATATTCCGACGTACAAAGTAACAAATAGGGCGGTTGTATATTCCGACGTACAAAGTGACGATCAAAACTAGTGTAGATATACTTTCTAATATGTACAGAATGCAATGCTGCATTTATCGAAGCAGATGCTCTGTGTAAAAAAAGTCCATAACAATTCGATTGTTGCCCCGATATTGATCTTTTTTGGCCCGAAAATTTTGAATTTTCTTCAAAAAAGAAATATTGTGTGCACGTGGGCATGTTCATCTCAAAATAATAATGGCATCAATCTAGAACTAATAACATAAATTAGCTAAAGATAGTAGCACTTAACGAAGAAACAGAGGTACCCGGTTTGACTCGCTTACCCCGTTTTACCCTACTTTTACCCTATATAAAAAAATTAATAAAAAAAAAATAATTTTAAGAGAAGTTTAAAATTTGAATTATTTTCCAATCTTTTGGTTTAAATCTATCTCTCTTGTAAAGTGATGAGATGATAGAGAATTGTGTCAACTAGAAGTGTGAAAATAGAAGTACGGGAAATTTTATTTTTAGTATAATCTGGAATTAAAAATTATTTTTATTTCGACATTTTCACGAAGAAAAAATAAATTCGGAAATAGAAAAAAGGATAAACGATTATAATATTGAGAAAATATGTGTTAAATTATTTCCATAAATATATCTTATTTTTAATACGCAATTGGAACTTCAGATATTCAAAATTGATATCTAAAAAGCATTGTTAAAGAATTGAAAAAGGAATATCACGCATACATAGATATATACATATATATAAATATATATACTGAGTAAATATATATACTAAAAATATATATACTAAAAAAATGTACTAAAAGTTATCGGTGAAATCTAACCGAAATCGCTATCATAGCAACGAATAAATCTTTCAATTGCATAAACGGTCGACTGGTTTCACTACTTGGAAACACGAGCACGATTTCATGAACGAACTGGTGGTGCGAATCCGCCGGTCTTTCCTGCTTCCCTCGCTTTATTTGCAACGCAATTTCTGCTGACATCGCTGTTCGACGATGAAACCATCGAGATGGAACGTCAGTAAACAATACGTTCACCTCTTTCACAGTCTCGAAACCTGCAGCCTAGCTGAAAGCGAAAGAGAGAACCGGAGTTGCCAAGAACGCCCTACAAATATACATAGCGTTCTAGACATCACACATTTTTTCTGGACTAGCGACATACTAAAGAGGTACCCATTTTCGTTCGGCGTAGAGACATCCATGATTTTTGCAAGAGAGTCGAAATAAGAAGAATTTCTGTCAACTAGACTTTTGATGTGCAAATAGACACACAAGCCATCTTGTTTTTTTTATTTATTAAAGAGAAGTGAGAGTGCTATTCTCGTTATAAAACTTACTTTTATATAATCTTAGATTTAGTTATTAAGGTATTAAGATATGTTTAATTAGTTATTAAGATATGTTTATTTTTCAAAAAATTCAAATTAAAAGATATTAAAATAATTTGCACTTGATTAAATTTGTTCTCAAGAAAGATGTTCAATATTTTAAATAAATCTATATAGGACCTTATCTATTTGTAATTGTGAAGAAATACTTACATTCACAAATCTTTCCCGTCAAGGCATGTTGATAAACAAGTATATTTAAGGAAGAATGATACAAACTAAAAAGACAATGTAAAATTGCATTTTATTTTTTATATTAACTTTTTTTGATATGTTTACATATAAGATAATAAAAAATATGAGTGATTAAATGAAAAGTAAAGTATAATATCTTGTTTTATGTATATAACATATTTATTTATTAGAAATATATATA